ATCACTAAACCAAAAAGCTCCTATCAATTTCACCTTTGCCTTGAGCTTTTTGTTTTTCTTTCTTCTTTTTCAAGTCCAAGCATTTGATCATCACCATGCCATCGCCATCATCATGTCATAATCTTCATTTGCTTCATCACTTAGAGTAGTGCTACCTATCTCATAATCACTTTGATAAACTAGATTAGCACTTAGGGTTTCATCAATTCACCAAAACCAAACTAGAGCTTTCAATCACCCACTTTTTGGTAATTGATGACAATCCTTTCACAAAGATATAAATTGAAATTCAATTGAATCCATGTTGCTTGCCCAAGCATATTTATCATGTGTAAAAGGATATGGAAAAGTTTCATGAATCCCATATGGTAGGAATTGCTCCCCCTACATATGTGCTAAGAGTTTAGATTGTAGCTTGCACACATGCTTAGATAGGAAATATAGGAGTCAATGTGTACCAAATGATGCTAAGATATAAGAGATGGACCTTTGAAGCGTGATACCAATCGGAGTGCACCAATATACCATCCTTAGCATCATTAGTAACTAGACATACGTAAAAACTAGAATACCCTATGAGATCAATATTAGAAGTAAGGGTCTAGTTTCCATAATGTGAGCATTAGTCTAGTTCTTTAATCTATGCATGATAGTTCCTCATTTCATCATTCAAACCTACAACTAGCATACACCACACAAGCATGTATATTGAAATTTAAAACTTGTGCCATGCAAGCAAACATATGAAATGCACATTCAAATGCATCCACCAAGTTTATGAGCTTACTCCCCCTAGTTGTGTGTAATTTTGATTGATCCCCTTTCTTTATCATATCTCTCCTCCTATGTCAATTTCTCAATTTCTCCCTTTATCTTTTCACTATCTTTGTACACTATTTCTCCCCCTTTGTCATCAATGACCACAAAGGTTTAAAATGTAGATAGGTTGAGATTATCAATGTCAATCAATGGGGTGAGGATCATTTTTCTAAATATGGTTCAATCTAGAATACTTGCCAAAGACATTTAACTTGGTTTGATCCAAGGACAAGCTTCCTCACACCTCCAAATAAGAGTTATCCTGTACCATGTTGAGTTAAACACTTAGAGCTCATTTTCTAGATCAAACATTAGGTTTACAAGCCCACAAACATGTCATATGCTACCACTAGACCAATTTAAGCATAGAAGCAATAGTGGTACTATACAATCATCAAAATTATTTGATTTTCATGAATGAGCCTCTTAAATGTGAAAGATGTCTAGATGCACTAAACAAGTCCTTAGCAAGGATGTATGCCATTCCAATCAACTTTTACCTTGGATTGCTCGAAAGAGAGGCATGTCATATAAGTGGGGGTGCATCAACACATATTTGAGAAATCCAATAGTTCAACTCATTCCTTAGCTTGCAAAACCTTTTCTCATCCAATGGCTTGATGAATATATCGGCAAGTTGATCTTTGGTGTCTACACTCTCAATGCAAATGTCCCCTTTTTGTTGGTGATCTCTTATGAAATGGTGGCGGACATCAATGTGCTTTGTTCTTGCATGTTGAACCGGATTATTGGTTAACTTGATTGCACTCTTATTGTCACATAGCAATGGCACTTTCTTGAACTTGATTCCAAAGTCACTTAAGGTGGCCTTCATCCAAAGTATTTGTGCACAACAACTACCGGCAGATATGTATTCGGCTTTGGCGGTTGATAATGCAACACTATTTTGCTTCTTTGATGACTATGAAACAAGTGATCTTTTCAACAATTGACATGTGCCCGAGATGCTCTTCCTTTCAACCTTGCATCTCGCATAATCCGAGTTGGAGTAACCAACTAGTTCAAACTTTGCTCCTTTGGGATACCACAAACCAACATTTTGTGTATGCTTTAAGTACCTCAATATTCTCTTTCTTGGTGAGGCTTGAAATCTTACGCACATGTATACACTAAACATGACATCCGGCCTTGATGCGGTCATATAGAGTAGGCTTCCAATCATAAACCGATACAATTTTTGATCCACCATATTACCACTTGCATCACTATCCACGCTTCCATTTGTCTCCATTGGTGTACTAATAGCTTTAACATCATCCATTCCAAACTTCTTGAGCATGTCTTTGATGTACTTGCCTTGACTCATAAATGTCTCATTCTTCATTTGCTTAATTTGAAGACCAAGAAAGTAACTAAGCTCTCTAATCATAGACATATCAAACTCACTTGCCATCATCTTGCCAAACTCCTCACAAAAATATTGATTTGTTGACCCAAATATGATATCATCAACATAGATTTGCAATACAAATTCAACATAGATTTGCAATACAAATAAGTCATTTCCAAACTTCTTGATGAAGAGAGTGGTGTCAATCTTTCTCATCTTGAATCCCTTAGAGAGTAGAAAATCCCTCAATCTCTCATACCATGCTCTTGGTGCTTGTTTCAATCCATACAAAGCCTTTCTCAACTTGTAAACATGGTTGAGTTTCTTTTCATCTTTAAAACCGGGAGGTTGCTCAACATACACAAGCTCATTGATGTACCCATTGAGAAATGCACTCTTCACATCCATTTGGTACAACTTGATATTGTGGGCACAAGCATAGGCTAACAAGATCCTAATTGTTTCTAATCTTACAACCGGGGTATATATTTCTCTAAAGTCAAGACCTTTAACTTGAGTGTAACCTTGAGCCACTAATCTTGCTTTGTTTCTTATTACTATCCCATCTTGCTCTTGCTTGTTTCGAAAGACCCACTTGGTTTTAATTACATTATGATCCATAGGCCTCTTAACTAACTCTCATACTTTATTTCTCTTGAAGTTGTTTAGCTCTTCATACATAGTATTGACCCAATCAACATCCTTTAAAGCTTCATCTATCTTCTTAGGTTCAATAGATGACATAAATGAGAAATGTTCACAAAATGATGCCAATTTAGATCTTGTTTGTACATCTTTAGAAATATCATCAATTATAGAGTCTAAAGGATGATCTCTTGCGACATTGGTTGGTTGGAGTACTTGCACTTGATCGCTTGCATTTGATCGATCATTTGGTTGAAATGATAAACTAGCCACTTGTTGTTGATCTTGCACTTTGTCAACAAAAGCACTTGCTTGACTTTGATCTTGAGAACCACTAGCTTGTACATTTGAGTTAGAGAGCACTTGATTCTTGTCATCTTCAACATCAATCACCTCTCTAGGTTTTATATCACCAATGTCCATGTTCTTCATTGCATTGACTAATTGAGTGTCTCTCACATCATCTAGATTCTCATCTTCCTCTTAGGAACCATTTGTTTCATCAAATTCCACATCATAAACCTGCTCAAGAGTACCACTAGCCAAATTCCAAACACTATATGCCTTGCTAGTAGTGTAGTAACCAAGCAAGAAACATTCATCATATTTCTTTTCAAACTTGCTCAATCTAGTGCCTTTCTTCAATATGTAGCATTTACAACCAAAAACCCAAAAGTATGCTATATTGGGCTTTCTTTCATTCAATAGCTCATAAGGTGTCTTCTCCATCATGAGGTGACAATAGAGTCGGTTGCTATAATAGCAAGCCGTGTTGATTGCTTCGGCCCAAAAAGAATGATTCACATTGTACTCACCCAACATTGATCTTGCCATGCCAATCAAAGTTCTATTCTTTCTTTCAACTAGGCCATTTGATTATGGAGTATGCTTGGCCAAAAATTGATGCATAATTCTAAACTCATCACATAAATCATCCACTCTTGTGTTCTTAAACTCACTTTCATTGTCACTTCTCACATTCATGATGGTTGTTTCAAACTCATTATGAATTCTCTTGATGAATGTCTTGAAGGTTGCAAACACATCACTCTTGTCAACAAGAAAAAACACCCATGTGTATCTAGTGAAATCATCCACAATCATAAATTCGTATTTGTTTCCACCAATGCTAGTGTATGTGGTTGGTCCAAACAAGTCTATGTGCACCAACTCAAATGCCTTAGATGTGTTCTTCATGCTCTTCTTAGGATGTGTGTTACCAACTTGCTTTCTGGCTTGACATACACTACATAGCTTATTCTTCTCAAATGTGGCATCTTTTAAGCCTATAACTAAGTCATGCTTGATCAACTTGTTCCATTGTTTTATTCCAACATGACCAAGCCTTCTATGCCATAGCCAACCCATGCTAGACTTAGTGAGCAAACAAGTTGACAATTGAGCTTCTCTAGCATTGAAATCAACTAAGTATAGATTCTCATATCTAAATTATTTGAATATCAAGTTAGAGCCATCTACACTTATGATCTCTACATCATCCACACCAAATATGCACTTGAAACCAAAATCACACAATTGAGCTATCGATAATAGGTTGAAGTTCAAGCTCTCTACTAGTAGCACATTGAAAATGCTCAAGTCATTAGATATTGTAATCTTACCAAGACCTTTGATCTTGCCTTTACCATTGTCACTAAATGTGATATTATCAATCCCATTGCTCTTATTTTCATTGATTGAATTGAACAGTTTTGGATCACTGATCATGTGTTGTGTGCACCCACTATCAAGCACCAAATGTCTTCATTCGGCTTTATAATTGACCTACAAAAGAAGATCAATTCTTTTTAGGTACCCAAACTTGCTTGGATCCTTTAAAATTAGTTACCAAGGTATTTGATACCCAAATGGCCTTCTTCTTTGGGCCCACAATTGGTGTACTAATAAACTTAGCCTTCACACCATTGGCACCCTTAACAAGCATGTAACAAGAATCAAATCTAATTGAGGATACATTAGGTTGATTGTTCTTGTTAGTCTTGTAATATTGCTCTATATGCCCAATTTATTTGCATTTATTGCAAAACCGACCATTGCCCTTCACAAAATTGGAGGATGCTCGCAAGGTGCTTGATGTGTCCCAGATTTGAAGACTTGGACCTTGTTGATCCAAGGGTACTGTTCAGCTGGGGATGTGGACAGAGCTGTGCAGTACTTCACTGAGATGATCGAGAAGGGCTTGGACGCGGATGCCAATTTGCTGGATGTGATATTGAAAGGTCTGTGTAGCCATGAAAAGGTTGAAGAGGCTTACTCTTTGTTTGTTGAGATGGTGGATAAGGCTGAGTTGAGGCCTTGGCAAGGCACTTGCCGGCGTCTAATTGGTGACTTGCTGAGGGTAAACAAACTTGACGAGGCACTGGCCCTTCTGAAGACAATGAAAACCTGCAAGTTCCCACCTTTCGCGGACCCATTCCCTCCTTACATTGCCAAGCATGGGACGGTTGAAGATGCAAGGAACTTTTTCAAGGCCTTGACAGTGAATACTTCTCCAGCACCTGCTGCCTACCTGCATGTTCTCAAGTTGTTCTTTGCGGAGGGAAGATATTCTGAAGCTCAAGATTTACTGTACAAATGCCCTAACCACATCCGCAAGCACCCCCATGTCACCAAACTGTTTGAATCAATAAAAGTTGAGTGCCTCTGCCTCTTGATTGGGTTCAAGCAAGCAATGATTGGTGAGATTATGGTGAACCCTTAGCTTTGCATGCTAGCTAGCCTTTTGTTTTTAAGTTGCCTTGGTATTGGGTACTTTTATCAAATACTCCATCTTCTAATGATATATGGTTCAACTAAGTCGGATTTTAGTATATGCTACTCCCAGCCCATGACCTGCTGGCATATTCCCCTGTAACTTAGCTTAAGAGGAAGGTGCCCACTGGCACGTCCTTGAAACTGTTGTTTTTCGTACTGGTCATTGTTGCTACTTGCTAGTATCGTTGCAGCTATGCAGATGGATTTTCCTTCAAAATGACTAAAATGAATCAAAGCACTTGCTCAGAGTTTGAACACCATGTTTACTATACTGGCGATTATCAATTTCAGGAGCTCTGAAAAGCAAATGCTTTGACAAATAAGACTATATGATTGCAACCACCAGCAGTATTGCTTAATATTACTACATGCCACAATCATTTGATCTGGTGTAATGTCTGATGCATTTTAACATGACAATTTTACAAAATAAACGTCCTGTGGACTGTGGAGTTACAGCTCCGCATGTCCAGAACCTTGGGAGATGCTGTATGCTTCAATGATATCTTGATTTATTGGGGTACTCATATGAGCATGTCAAGACCCTTCAACTTGTAGCTACTACAACTTTCTTGTCAAATCTGTTTGATGAGTGCAGTTTTTTTCTTATCTGATCATGGAGTTGGCTAATAATTAGAAGAATATGTATACGTATGCTCGATGCTTTACTATTCCAATTTCCAAATAGAAGCAAATCAACTAGCAGTATCACAAAAGCCTCAGTATCATATATAAAAGTAGTCCATACATCGTTGTTGCAAACAATATTGCCACATAATTACACATCTCCACATAATTACATTACTTTCTTATTTGTATTCTATCAACAATGCCATGGTAACTTCGCTCCGCAAATATCCAAGGCTGCAAGCAGCATATATTATTTGATCTAGGACCTATAGACTATATAGATACAAGCATAAGTATATAGTATCGACTTCTTGAACTAGCGACACCTTTAAGTAGAAGGTTGGTACATGGTTGTGCTCTTCTGGAGTGCCCAAGCCCTGTGCTTAAGCTTGATGAAGTCCGAAGCTGTTGTATCCACATCCTTATTCTTGTCATCTTTCATCCCATAGCCATACCCACTGGTTCCTGGTTCCTTCATAGCATTGGCTTGGCTATCCTGAAATTTGACGTGTTTCCTCTGGGCCTGGAAACGAAGGGGCTGGGCTTGAGACATTGTTACTTGCTTAAGGTATTGAGAAAATGTAAGAAAGTGGGAATTGCTAGGTTGGTAGTTTGCAGCTGTGATGTTTTCGTGCCTTCTTTTATAGGCCCAATGGATATATACTCCAAAAAGATTTTTTTAGATAATCAAGCATCCGATTCTCCTCTTTTGAAGAATTGCCTTGTTCTCTTTCTTCATTCAAATTTGTTAGGCGTCACATGACTTAAGCGTCATCTCTTTACTACTAGTAGTAGTTCAGCTGATTTTGATGGCTAGGATTTTACTTTGTTTGATTGTAAGGTTAGTTCCCAATAAGGTTTCTTCTCTTCTCTTTTAAGAGAAGCGCAAGTTATGCTATTGGTCAAAGATTATAACTTTTTTTGTGGTCAAATGTGAATAATAAGGAAAACATGGTGTAGGGTTTTTATTTGTTTTCTAGTGTCAAATCTTTGATCCTTATAACGCTCTGGGACTTGGATTTGTGTTACTAGGGAAAGCATTTGAGGACCACAACACATCTTTCCCTGTAAATCAGCTTACAAGCCTTTGTGTTTTTAGGCATGTATGTAGATTTAAAACCATATAATTCACAGCTTTCTAGCATGTTTTTTTCTTAAAAAAATATGAACAGCATATCCATCATGAAGATGCTGCAAGTACTATTGGCGCACTGTATTTCTTTATGAAAAGTTATTCTCGTTCAATTGAATATGATTCTCTTTTATCTTTTTTTCTCTTTCAGAGTGAATAATTGGATGCTTTTCACGTGGGTCGATCGCCTAGACAGACGTGGGATTTCCTGCACAGAGGCAGAAGCAGAAAACATGAGACTTGGTGGATAGATATATATCACATATTGCTTTCTTAAAAGCAGAGTTAATTCTCATTAAAAAAAAGATATATATCACATATTGTATGAGTGGACGTCTAGTCCTTCAGGTTTGACGGAGTTTGGCCAGGCATGATGTAGATGGGTAACAGAAAGCAGTTATATGGAGTACTAGGTAGGTAGGCGCGCTCCGCCGCGCCTGTATACTATACAGAGTCACGGTGATAATCCATTTGTTCCATGCTATTTGGTGTTGAGTATAAGAGCTTCAGCGGCACATAGACCTTGGCATAGTTTATTTCACTATTGCCTTGTACGTACAACTTTTAAGATTGTGAGGAAAACTGCAAGAGGAAAATACAGCTATGCTAATCTATTCCACAAGGAGTATCAGGCATACTAACTGGGAAATACAGATGCATGATATAACTAATATATACATAGCAGTTAATGCATTATATAACTAACATATAGTGCCTACTAATTGAGTCAAACCAACGCAAGAAATGGATGGCCTGAAGTCATCTGTGAAAAAGCAAGAAATGGATGGTCTCAAATCATCTGTGAAGCTTATGAGGAGTGATCGGTAGCATTATTTGATCCTGTGGGAACCTTGCAAGCTATGCCGACTTAGCCATAGCAATGCTAGGCGCTATGTGCAGCGTGTTATACCTGCATGAATAAATCAGAAAATGTCATTTGTTTGATGACAAAGGAGTAGTAATATTAATTCAAGAAAAAAAAAACTTAATATAGCTTGGCAGGCCAAACCACGTGGCTCACAGGGGCTGGACCCACCGTACATGAACAGAAAATACGATTGCTATAAGATCTCTTGAGTTGAGTCTGTCATTTGGAGGCATATAATGTAAATGAACCATCTATAAGAACCATCTTCTGTATAGTAGAGCCCCCATATTGGAATGTAGACTACACCAACAATGGGTCAATGGGTGATAAGTTTACTTCAGTAATTAGGCAAGACCAGTGAGTTCTCATTGGTGCACTGGATGGCACAAATATGATGCATGTTCCTACACTTATTTGATTTGAAGGAACAAATATATATATGTAGAGTGAATGGACCATAACAAAACTAAACAGGAACTGCACTTTCCTATCAACTTCCCCACTTCCTCCAATTTGGATGCAACTTATCTTATACACATTGTAAACAGGTAACGATTTTTGCAAACCGTGAAAAGAACATCGTCATTGCCATCAAATCCAAAAGGATAAGAGGGTGCTATAGCAAAGATTAGGAAACTTTAGGATGCATTTGTGTCTTGAGGTGTACATGTAGCTAGTACGGATATCTATTTTTCGAACAAAGGAAAAGACTGATAGTAAACGGAAAAGGGTCCTATAAGAACTTATTATGTAAAAATATAGAATCTGTTTCCTAAGAAAAGGTACCCTACACTGCGGAAGGCTAACACCATAATCTCAGCATATCATGATAAGGATACTAAATTAAATAGAAGGAATGAGCTCTGCAGTGAATAGAAAAACATATATTTATACAGGCGATTAGAAGCAGAGGTCACACTAAAACACTCCATGCTACCGTATGTCCCACAGCAAACATAAGAAAAGAACAAAGTCAGCAATGTTGGTTGTTTGATAAAAAAAAGTACAGGTCTACAACATAGGTATTGTCTATTGCTAAATAGGCTGTCGTAAGTAACATAAGCATTCATTAATTAGGGGCAAATGCCCAGCGACTAAAATGCATTATGTAGACAAAGGCCCAAAATGAGAATAGAGATTTATACAGGCAGAACTGACCTTCAAATTTGGAGGGAATAGGCAGCACAACAAAAACAGTTTGGTTCATAGAAACAAAGTAAAATAAAATGAGGTTTGCAGCTCCAAATCTAGAAGTAGGCAAACTGTAACAAACCAAATGCTCTCTGCATTAAGGGAATGAAGTGGAACTTCTGAATGTACTGGTACAAAATTACTGGTGAATCTATAAACTATTGGCATCTAATCTAACCATAAAAAAATCAATACAAACAGAAATGACAGGATGAGTACCTGAAATTCTAAAAACACTATTAATCTCACATTCTCATTATTGAAAGAAGAAAACCGGAGACCATACCCAGCATGAGGTTCCATTGTGAATCAAGATCTTGTAAATCTCCATTGGCATATAACTGTAAAAATAAAGTGATTTTTAGCATAAATCAACAATAGGGAAATGCTATAAGCTGCATTTGTGTACATATAAAGATGGCACGTACATACATTGACACATAAATAAGTACGGAACCATAGCTTGAGATAATCCCAGTCAAATTGGTATGCAGCAAACTAACTATCATAGATCAATGTTTTCTGAAAAATAAAATGAATTGGTTTGGACACTGCCACCGCTGCTCCACCAATGGACCTGGCTGCCTGGAAGAGAGGACATCGAATCAGGAAAAAAACGAAATCATCATGTAGCATATTTACATAGTTGCTCAGGTTTTTTCCTGACCATATCGGGCTTGCATCTGAACTTACAACTGCATAAACAACAACTGGCTATATGTGCATCCTCCGCTCGCACCATGATCTGCTCGAACCCTAGTATGAAGAACTAACCAGTCTAGGTAAATTTGAGAGAGAGGAGCGATGAAGGGGTGTGGCACATAGAGAGACGGGGATGTTCAGCCTGGAGCACTTCTCGGACTTGGAAATCACACAAACGCAGGTAGGTAAGACCTACCCAAACAGCAAGCAAATGAAGATCGGAAAACAGATCGAGATGAAAGAGGAGGGGGCGTGAACCTCAGTGTTAGGACGGCGGCGAGGTACACTTGGGAGCCCAGTTATCATGGCACTGTACATCATCAGGTAAAAAAGAAAATGGCCTAAAATAACTATCATTGTGGCTAGATGACGTCCATTATTAGACATTGCGTAGTGTAGGTATAATCAAACAAAAGCATGCCAC